ATGGCCAAAGAGCCCAAAAAAACCCACAACAACCATTAGATCCTGGCTGTGAAAGCCTTCGCAAATACATTTCTGTGATAATTGGCTACGGTGGCCATTTTCTGTCTTCTGGGGCAGACGGAAAATGTGAGAGAGTAAGCTTGACTACCTTGGTCATGGAGAGTTCTTATGTAGAAACTGTTTGTGATAATTGGCTACGGTGGCCATTTTCTGTCTTCTGGGGCAGACGGAAAATGTGAGAGAGTAAGCTTGACTACCTTGGTCATGGAGAGTTCTTATGTAGAAACTGTTTTGCTTGGACAAGACAGTGGATGAAACCATTTTTAAAAATCCTTGACATTTTAAATTACCCCCCCCCCCCAAATCTCATTTTAACTGTTTCTTGTCCATTGCTGCTGTTAATTCCATGGTTCTTTTGATATGGTTCTTTTTATTGTTTTCTTTTTTCCCCGCTTATACATTTATTTTTATTGTTCACTCTTTACTGTTTGGTGGAGCGGCCCTGGAACATCCATCTTGTTGAGCAGAGTAATAATCCCTTGGAAATAAAATTGTATTCTATTCTTTGAGTCACTGAAGAATAGAGAAGATTATCCATAGATAATCTTCAAACCCAATGACTTAAGTAATATTATGCAGCTTTCTTATACTGTCAGAAGACTTTCTTTCGTGTTGTAGTGGCATTTAAGGAGGAGGTGAGTTTTTGTCTTCAGCACATTCCTTCTAAAAGATTTTAACTACTTGTTTGTAAATTCATAGGTATTGTTACAAGATGTCCTTTAGAGCTCAAGATGAAAAAAGTACCGCACACAAATAAATGGAAAGGGAAAATTCAGTATGCAGGCACAGAACAAGAACTGAATAGTCCGTCACAGGTGGAAGCAGCAGTAATAAGAGGCAAGTGTCACTAATTGTGTGATCCTGTGTATGTTTATTCAGAACATTAAGTGTGTAGAATAAACCAAATTCACTGTTCTTGCTTTATGTTCCCTTGCAGATGAGGTCTTTCAGGTTCCAGTCAATAAATCAAAAGAAAAAAAAATACAGAAAGGTCGGGTTTGGGAAAGGGTTTGGTTCATCCAGTCACATTTTAAAATCAGGATCAGAGGGATCCTGAGGCTCATCTGGATCAAGATGTCCGCCTTCCCATTCCCTGGGGGTGCTGGGCAGAGTGAAGAGTGAAGACAGGCAGGTTGATTCAACCTTGCATCCTCCTTAGCACCACTTAGTTTAAAAGATGATTTTAAAAATCAAGCATGGCCGACTGTATAATCAGGGACCTATCCCTTTAAACGTCTGGACGTGTGAATCGCTGCAGACAGAGATTTACTGCAAACTGGCGAGCTTTGTTTTTAGTGCTTTGTTTTGTTTTCTAATCCAAGGGACGTGGTGGCGCTGTGGGCTAAACCGCAGAAGCCTCTGTGCTGCTGGTCAGAAGACCAGCAGTCGTAAGATCGAATCCACGTGACGGAGTGAGCTCCCGTCGCTTGTCCCAGCTCCCGCCAACCTAGCGGTTCGAAAGCATGCAAATGCGAGTAGATAAATAGGGACCACCTTGGTGGGAAGGTAACGGCATTCCGTGTCTTAAGTCGCACTGGCCATGTGACCACAGAAGATTGTCTTTGGACAAAACGCTGGCTCTGTGGCTTGGAAACGGGGATGAGCACCGCCCCCTAGAGTCGAACACGACTGGACATAAATTGTCAAGGGGAACCTTTACCTTTACTTTACCTTGTTTTCTAATGGGGAGGAAACTGACACGTTTTCAGGCTACTGAAACATGTCATATAGTAGAGACTGTCAAGTCTTAGAATTATGCAGAAGGGTTTAGGGCCCAGGGCAAGTGTAACATTCCTGATCTCCGAGACCCTTTTTAGCAATGTGCTTGTGGGCTCATGGGCACCTGTCCTTGGGAATTTCACTAGCTTTCAGTGGCTTCCTTCAACAAAGACACAAAACTGTTTAATTGTGTATGCAGTACATGTTATATCTTCCTCTGATAAAAACAAACTCCACGTGGTTACTAATAAAAAAGTATTACAGTGTAGCATAATTAAAATTGCCTTGATGACTACAAATTGAAATTTCAAAACTTGGCTTTCAAAACAGTTCTAAGGCAGTCCTAATTGCTATTTATAGAGGAGGAATATTGTGCAGTGAATTGTGCCTGTGGTGTAAGGGTTGCAATGAATTGTGTGAGCAGCATATAGAGCCAGTTACATGCTTACTGGGGTTCTGAGGATTGCAGAACAACACATCAGACTAGATTGTTTTATGGAGCAGGGAGATTGTAGAACTGCTTCCTTCTGACCACTTCCTCTGTGGTGAGTTGTCTCTAATATAGTCTGTTTGTTGACTCTCCTATAATAAAGCCCAGAATGCATTGGCTGGGGAAGGAGTGGGCATTAGCCACAATTTAATTACCCTGGAAATTACCTCCCATGATGTTCCCGACCTCACTCTGATCGATCTGCCAGGGATTACAAGAGTGGCCGTGCGTGATCAGCCACAAGACATTGGACAACAGGTAAAATAAGTCTACATGCTCTGCTAGTAGAATTCTGAATAGTCAAGATGTCGAGGTGCCTCCTGCCATGTCAACCTATACCGCCACCCATCAAAATGATGAATCTAACAGTGACCTGCAAATGCCACCTTTGCTAGAAATGAAGCATACATCTTTAACAGATTTCAAAAGAATATAATTTTTGTTTGTCTTTGCTCATTGATAATCATTTATGGGGGCAAAGCTTTTTTAGAAAGGCAAAATATACTTGTGGTTCAAAATCCACTTCATCAGACAAAGAATGCAAATTAATGTCTCCCCATATTTATTTCATGGTGCTTAGATTGATGTCTAATAGTAAATAAAGTGACAATGGTTTGTTAACACAGAACATTACTGTCAAGTTATTAATTGTGATCCTAGCTAGGTGATAAACTAGGAAAGCACTAGAGTGCTGTCCTCTGAAGATGCCGGCCACAGAGACTGGCGAAACATTAAGAAGAACAACCTTTAGAACACGGCCAAAGAGCCTGGAAAACCCACAACAACCACAGGAAAGCTTAGCCGTTACTGGAATGCTAAGAATTGTTTATGCCACAGAGGTCTGTGTCTGTTGTGGGATATGACTGCTTTATACACATAAGATATTGCAGAAAGCTGGGTTATTGGTATATGCAATGTGCTAAGAAGCCTTGATCTCTTTTTAGGCTTATACAAATGCACAGGTATTTGTTTATGTAGCCAGTTTCTGCTGTATCCCACTCAAGTCTCCCTTTGTACAGTAATTCCATTTTGATACAGTAGCCACTTTGGGATGTATAACAGAGTGTATGTGTGGCTGTGGTAAAACCACTCCTTAAATATCTCACATTCCTTGAAATCTTTAGTAAGGTTACTACAAGTCAAATGCAACTTTATGGTACATAACAACAAATGGAAAGGGAAGTATGTCTAGAAGTACAGTAGAATCCATATTCATGGAGATTGGTTCCATGTCCCATCATGGTGCTGAATACTACAGTGGGGTCTCGATTTACGAAATTAATCCGTATTGGAAGGTGGTTCGTAGGCCGAAAAGTCCGTAGGTCGAATCTGCATTTCCCATAGGAATGCATTGAAACCATTTACAGTGGTGCCCCGCATAGCGACGTTAATCCGTTGCGGCTTAATCATCGCTATCCGGAAACATCGCTAAACGGAACCAAAAAGCCCATAGAAACGCATTAAGCTCACCGTTGAGCGAAGATCCTCCATAGGGGCGGTCATTTTCGGTGCCTCTAAAGCGAGGCAACACAGCGGGCGGCCATTTTGGAACCACCGACCAGCTGGCCGAAAATGGGGCCTTTGGCATTTTCCCCCAGCTGAGCAGCGGGAGCTTCAAAGCCCCACCACTCAGCTGGGGGAAAATGTCAGCAGTTGGTCGGCGGTGGCTTTGGAAGGCCCCCAAAGCCACCGCCGACATTTGCCTTCCGAGCTCTCAAAGGGCTTCCCACACACACATTGGAGAAAGCCCTTTGAAAGCTCGGAAGGCTCTCAGCGGCGGCGGGGACAGGGTAGGGGGTGTCCGGATGGCTTCCAGGCGAAGCACTGGAAGTCATCCG